TATTCTATTCTATTCTATTCTATTCTATTCTATTCTATTCTATTCTATTCTATTCTATTACTGTATAAGTAGTATTGTGTAATTATTTTATTTATTTATTTATTTATTTATTTGATTTCTATAGTTGCCCATCTCAACAAGTGACTTAACTTGAACCATTCTATATTTAACTCGAATCACTGTGTATTTAACTCAAATTTTGCTACCATAGGCTCTGTTCGTAACTATGGGTCATTCATAAACCAGGCATTCTTAACCCGGGGACTACCTGTACACTAGTAAGCACAGTCAGCCTACTGGTTTATTGAGCCCAGTGTTTCTCAACCTCAGCAACCTTAAGATGTGTGGACTTCAACTCCCAGAATGCTGGCTTGGAAATTCTGGGAGCTGAAGTTCACACATCTTAAAGTTGCTAAATTTGAGAAACCCTGATCTAAAGCATGCATTCAACCACAGATTTCCCCAACCCAGTTTTTATCAAATAGCCCAATGCATTGCTGCATGTTCTTCTTCTATTTAGTCAAGCAGCAAGTCTTCCTGAGTTCTCTTGCAGACTCCCAAAGCTGGAAAATAGAAATGCTTTCTTACTCATGTAAGTCACCCCTGTTGGTTTCTTTTCCTTTACAGGTTTTATGGATTTGGGTTGTATTCGGTCAGATGCCCAGACGTTTTTGTCCTCGGTCACTTGAGGCGTCTCCACTTCATTCGTCTCCTCTGTCTCAGGTTTTTGTACGTAGTGTTCATCTTTTTTGGGGTTAGAGAGTTACAAAAGAGCAGTGTGTTACCATTCAAGGTCATTAGCAAAGAAGACAGATACTAGGAGTTGGGAATAGTTCTTGTTTTCTTGTTTAAGAAGATTCAGACACTGTGCCCAGAAGTTCACTTCTAGCTGAAAACTGCTCACCCAAGATAAATAAGCCTGAAACCAAGACATCCATGGGGGTAAAGAAGGGAGGAAGATGTGTCAAAAAAGTCAAGACAGTACCATGCTCACAAGGCTGCAGCTTCTATCTTGACTTTTTTGACACCTATGGATGCCTGAGACAAATTGGGTAACATGCAATTTGGGTTTTCAGGAAGAAGGACTGTAAAAACTGAATGTAATTGTGAAGAATTACCACCCTGGATGTATCTAGTCCAGCATCTGAGCATGAGATTTACATTAAGCTGACATGAGTCTTAGCTATGAAGAGATGAAATGGCTTTCTAATAGAATATCCCCTCCAGAGTAATACTGTATCAAAATCTGTCTTGCCATATCTCAGCAACTTTTGGACTTTCCACCCTACTTTCAAGGTGCTCTATTATTCCTTGGAAATTTCTCCTGGGGGTGTCATTGAGCTTCCTGGATTGCTGGAAGAAGCATAAAATGCTACTCCTGATGTTTGCTGTGACACATATTTCTATCATTTTGCAACCACCTTGGCTGCCCACCTCCCAGTCTGGAAAGCTCCAAAGGAGGAGTTTCCTCTTCTGTCCTCCTGTGACATTTCATACAAGCCAGAGGGGCTGAAAACTCTCAGAGAAAGAAGCAAAGCATGAAGGTCAGGATCATTTTTCTTCATGGCACTCTTCTTCAGGGTGGCCCGTGTATATAGCAAGGTAGCTTAGCCAGGGGTGTCCACAGAATCCAACAATTTTATCAGAATGACCGAACAAGCATGGCACCATCATGATGCAATCCCCCCACCCTTAGGTACCCTCATGCAGTGTTGCAACCCAGCATCAATTGCAATGCTTATTTTGTTATTAACTGCCCCCACCCCCTCCCAGTTGAGATGGAGCTATAAGAGGCCAACTCTGTACGACGTCGAGGTCAACGTTTGCCCACTCCTGGATCACGTACCTTTGTAACAGAGGTTATTCTGGCATCCTCCTCCATAGCTAGGCGGGCATTCAGAACACGATCTGCCATTTTTATATGGGGCTTCTCCAATCCAGTTGCCTCTGAAAAGTGCCCAGAGAAATGTTCCTTATTTTCTTCCTGCATCCTGTGTTAGGCTCACTACATACAAAGTCACTTCTCTGGACTGTTTTAGGCCTGGTGCCTGACTAGTTACGTTCCTGAGGCCTCCGAGCCATGAAAAATGAATGTCCCCACTGTAGCAATGCTTTGATAGATTACTGTAAATATGGGGAAGTTCTGCCTCAAAAGTATAGGTCGGAGGCATTCTAATGATAACTTTGGCACATGAAAGAACCAAAGTTATGCCTCACAACCAACCAGTCATTAGCCTTCACATGAGTTCCACAAAATTATTCAAAACTGCCCCCATTTCTTTCTCCCAGAGCCCTTTGGGTGGCTCCTGAAACCAATCTGAATGCTTAAAGGTCTTTTCCTGTCAACAACGTATTCCATCTTCCAGCTGGGAGAGCTTCCAAGGTGTCTTCCAAGAGATCAAAAAATATTAGCTGTTCTGGGAACTTTGAACAAACTTTGCCAGCGTCTGGGAACATTCGCCTCACATAGTGCTCGCCACATGCTAAACACTCATCTTTAATGGGCAGAAGTCACTCAACACTTCTAGTTTGAAGGGAGGTTTGTCCCAGATCAATCAGAGACAGGTCTGCTGTCCAAACATCCCAACCAGGAAAAGCAGCCATTTTGATACAAGCCTTTCAAATCTCTGTGATCAAGCAAAATCTAAAATCAGCTGGCTAAAATTTTAAGTCAAGGGACCTAGAGCACAAGTGAGGGGTCCCCTGTCCTGTTGGAGTTTCTTCAACCAGTCCTGATGTTCAAATACTTTTGGCACGCCCCACGATCTAAGCTTTAAGGCTGGGTTCATCCAACACATGAAGCTAGGCTAAAAAGGGGTTGGGCAGTTTGTGGTGCAATGTGTTGTGGGAACCTAGCTAATATCTTAACGTGTTGCGTAAACACTTTAAGCTGTCATGTCAAGCCACAATATGGTTTCTTGGCTTGGGGTTTGCATATTGTGTGAACACAACAGTTGTGCTGGGTGCATAAAGAAGAGGTCCTGGGAAATGTTGACTCAGCTGGCCCTACCTCAGACACAGAGATACATAGACTGTCCCCTTGCCCGCCTGCAGCCTTACTTGGGAGAATAGTTGCAGACCAAATACACGGCATTTTCCCACACCTCGCCCCACACGTCCATCCTCTTGCAGACATTCACAGCACAGCCAACTTTGTTTGTTGTAGCCCAGACCAACTGGAAAGAGACACAAGAAGCAAATCAGTTGCAACTAGTTGCCCAAGATCAGTTCCTCTGATGCTCTGATATGTTTTCATATCTGTGCCCACCTGTGGCAAGCTTGTGGGGAAGAGCCACAAGTTCTAGCACTCCATTTCAGCCGTTGTTGTCCTTACCTGTGTGTAATGTGTGCACATGGATCCTGTGCATCTGTCGGGACACCAAGGGTTGCATTCATGAGGATATGGGTAGGTATAATCTTTTACTTCATCGTACCAAGACTGGACATGGAAAGTTGGAGAACGATACCTAAGAAAAATGGAAGCATATTCCAGTGTAACAAAGGAGACCATCTCCCAAGGATGTAAGGAAGGCAAGAAGGCATATTTGCATGCTGTCTTATTTTGCCTGTCCACAGTGACCCTTATCCATTGATAATCAGCATCTCATAGAATCTTATGGGAGAGATTCTGGTTCAAAGAGCCGATCTACTGAACAGATTCAGGGACCTGCCATGATCTTTTCTATGACATTATGGCACTGGCATTTTAATTTATTCATTAATTTAGAAACCACTCCCCAAAGCAGGTTGTCCAGGGAACAAATGCTGTTTTGATTGACTTGTAAGATGAAGAGTTACTCCAGAATCCAAAAGAGAAAAATTTTCAATGTGGGTTACTGTGATGTGATCTGTTCTACTTCTGAGTTGTCCATAACATTTTTTATCATTAATTTGTACACTCCCCACAGACTATAATGCCAGAAAGAAAGAAATAACAGTAACTGGTCAATGACCAAAAATAAAGAGGACTTGACTTGACTTAAACAACAGTAGCCTGGTCTATATTTTGGTCTATATTTTTAGCACAGTACAGGTATATGTACTGATAAGGAAATTTGTGGGCTGTTTTTATTTCATCAATATAATCATTATACTCTCTGATTCAGGGTCAGTTACACTGGAAAGGGAATACACACAAGGAAGGGAGGGGGAGTAAAAGATACTACCTCTGTTGTTTTATTTCAAACGATTTGGGAACTCCTCTGTTCACTCAAGAGTGAGAAATTAAGCCAGCTTTTTGCAAAGGATGCTTAGCCAGCTACAAAATCATATGTTTCTGTACAGATAAGTATGCATGTATGTGGGTGGGTGGGTGGGTGTGTATACCCACATGCTTTGCTTGTGTATCATCATCAAGATTAATGTGGGAGACATAAAAAATAGACTGAAAACTGATACTGGAACCAAGCTCATCATTCAGTTAAGTCCTGTGGCCAGCCAATTCTTCCCATTAGGAGCTGGCAAAAACCCATAGCTGCATAAAGAAGAAACATAATTTCTTATTCTGGTTAGTGCATGAGGCTGAAATGTTCAACCAGGATTATGTAAAGTACATTCCACTGTCCAGACATACATACTGTCCCAGTAGCTCGCTAGATCCCGTGGTCTTACCTTCCCCAGTGAACGGCCAAATTCTGACCAATGGATCGGAGGAGGGTGGCAGGTCCATGGTCCCAAATGCATTGGTGAGCCCAAGACTCGGCAGATCTCTCCAGTTCTTCATCCCACCTCTAAAGAAGGTGCAGGGGGAAAAACACTAGGTCAGCATCTCATAAGGTCGACCTCTCTAATTTCAAACAATACAAAGAAGCAAAAGCAGGGACTGCAAACAGGCATTTAAAAGTGGGTAGCGTGTTTTTCCATGCAGCATTTAATCCCTGTTCCCACCCCGCAATTTTCACTGAGTCTACATAAACATAATTCTTCCATCTTTCTTTACTGACTTTATTTTTTAAATTATTTTTCCAGGATCAACACAGCTGTCTGCTAAACTTTGGCCGCCTCCTATTGTTTTTACAATAGAAGTTGACTTCTTTCTTGGCAGACTTTGAACTGAACATGGCTCTTCTTATCCAGAGCACGGCACGGAGAGAGGTTGTGACCAGCCAGGAGCATATGTACTTGCACTTCATTTCAATGAGCTGAAATTCAGATTGAAAATGTTGAGCCGTGCAAGTCATGCCATCATTGGCTAATTTTCTGCATTGTCTTCTGACCTCCTGGCCTCACAGCCTTCAAAGGACCAGGGAACCCACACCACTTTGAAAAGAAAGGACTTAAAACTCTTTTTCCATTCTGAAGGGAGAGACGGTGGAACAGTCTTGCCTCCTGGAGTTGTGGGTGCTCCATCGCTGGCGGTTTTCAAGAAAAAATTGGGCAACCATTTGTCTGAGATGGTATGAGGACTCCTGCCTTGGGAAGGGACCAGAAGACCTCCAAGGTCCCTTCCAACCCTATGATTCCATGATTCTAGGATTCTATGACTGTGATTTCTAAGCCCTGTTAGATAAATATGAATGCATTTATTTTATTCATTCATTCATTGACTAGGCTTATATGCCGCTCCAGTTGCTGACAACTTTTATGAAGGGGGGATTATGAGTCAGCCTCAGGAGAGCCCACATAGAGCTGGTTTTTCAGCTGGACCTTTGGAGGCTTTTTTCACATGCTGCCTGATCCCCAGCAAAAGAAAAAGAAAACCGCACATATGAGTTCAGGGCCCTGAGCAAAGCCAAACATGAAGAACCAACCAGGCTGGACAAGTAAATAGACATTAACCCAAAGAGTCTTTGGCCGTAGCGCTGAGCTGGAGGACTCAAAAGCCAAGAAAAATACATTTGGCCTCCACCCTCTGCCTCATGTTGACTTTCCAAAAAGCAGGGAGATTGTTCCTGCCCTCACAACGGATGAAACAGGCTCTGCCCATCGTGGAACGGGAGCTGTCAGCCTGCACCGATCTGTGAGTAGGGCTTGTTTGGGAATTCAAGCCCCAGGAGATGGTTGCCCCAAGTGGGCTTTTCAAAGCCCAAGAAGGCATTCTCTCTCATACCTCTTTGCTCACTTCTTTGATTACTATCAGAAAGCTGAGTGGGGAAGTTGCATCTTCCTAGAAAATAATCCTAGCCAATCAAGGAGGATGTCATCGCCCCTCCAAAAAAATCAAGGAATCCCAAACAATTAAGAACTGTCGACCCAATAGTAAGGCATTTTAGTCTCCATGGCAGACTTGTAAAGCCAATTCAGAGTGAGGCCACTCTTTTTTCTGGCAAACTTATTCCTTCTGTGTATAGATCAACTTCTGAGAGAGGAGTGCTTTTGCTGCTTCTAAACACAATCCTCAATCCTGTTTAATGTAGATCCTTGTTTATTAAAGGCTGTAGAGGTCATCATAAAAGGGGATTCCTAAAGGGAGAACTGGACACTGAGATTGTGGGACTGGGCCCTGCAGGAGTGTCTGTGGAGTGGGGATGGATCCAAAAAATAAAGATGGTAATCACAACCATGCAATTAAAGCCCTACCTTTTTAATGTGTGCTGTGATGCACATAAAAAAGGGTGGGCTTCTGTTGCAAAGCTGCAGTCACCATCCTGACTTTTTGATCCCCTCCCTGCAGTCATCTCTGGGGCCTCCCCTCGCTCCTTCCTTCTTTCCCCAGTCAGTAAAAGTAAACCTACTGGTCAGAATAATACAGTCAGTTCATGTTGGCTTAGATTCATTCAAGGTCCTATAACTTGATGGTAGAAAATCAACTTCACTCCCTGGGTTCAGTCCTTAGTTAGTTACAAAGTTCCCTGCTTAAGATTTTGAATTACTGGAATAATTGGATCCAATAGTTTGACTCAGAGCAAGGCATACATCAATGTAGGCAGGTATAATCAATCTTAGGTCTGTAGGATCCCTCCTTTATATTTAGAATGGATCTGGTATCTTGTTCAGGCAGAGAAAACATTCTGTTCTTTCCTTATAGACACACACACACACCCTGCCTGGTTGCATTCTCACATAGAACGAACTTTTGGCTTTGTATGAAATCATCTTTAATTTATATTTATTGGTGTCTGGAAAAGTGGGCCTACGTCAGAAGAATGTTCCATTGAAAGCCTTTGGATGGTCACACAAACTTGTTAAGATCTTTAAAAAAAATCACCAGGAGCAACACATACAAACTTCTGAGAAAGGATTTCTACATTCTTCTCTTGCTGACAAACCTGGAATGATGAATAGCAAATGACTGGGAATATTATGTAGCTAGAAGCGTGTGGGTTTCCCCCCCCCCCCTTTCTCCTTTCAGTCTCTAGATTTTTGAGTTGCTATTTTTAAAGGAGCAATTTTTTTATAGTAGAAAGTTCTCCAAATTGTTCCGTTCCCAATTCTCACAAGAGAAGCATGAGAATCAGTATCATCTCACAGGCTTCCCTGGTCAACTGGACAGAGGGAAGACGATGAAGAAATGAGCAATATCAAGAATATACGGCCACTGTAGAGTGTCAGCAGAGAAATGTGAGAGGTGTAGATTGGTAACCTATCTATGGGTGCTATAGATATAGAGGCTATTGACCAGTGTTTCTCAAACTTAGCAACTTTAAGATGGGTGGACTTCAACTTCAAGGGGGACCATTTCACCTTTCCCATAAAAGAACACAAGGTAACAAATATCTAACAAAACATCCCTCATTATCATCCTAACAATTCTGTAAGAAACCTAAGCCAAGATATGGTGATTGGCCCAAGATCACCCCCTGATTTGCAGAGCAACAGGAAACCAAACTACAGCCCTCAGTCCTTAACACACCTGTACCAACCAACTGCTTTAATAATTTCTGTAATTTTACCACTCCTAAGGCATGGCAAAAGATTGGCAGTCTATCATGAAAGTCTGTAAAATGTAAAATGCAACCTGGAAATCCTTATTCCTTTTTTGCAGTTTGTTTTTTTGAACTACAGAGTCTTCTTTGGACAAAAAGTTAATTCATCAAAATGCACTAATGTAGTAAAATATAGATGTTATTATAACAACAATTTTATTGAAGGAGAGGGATTGGGAAGAGGGATTGGAACCTGAATCTTGGCCAGGACTCAGTCCTATCACTAGATCCCATGGATTTGGATCCGTGCAGACACTAGTTACTACTTCCTTCCTTCCCACCTAGAATTCAGAAGGAGAAAATCAAGACTAAGGATAACCTGCACTGTCTTATTGTCCCAGCTTGGCCCTGCCCTGGATTCTACATCCTGGTCCTGCAAGATTACAACAGAACCCCAGGAAGATCTTCTCATAAGGAGCAACAATGAGTGTTCCACCCTAGAAAAGGTCATTTTTGGATTGACCCGACCTACAGATGTTTCCTTTCCAGCTGAAATGACTCAAGAAACTGCTATCTGAGTTGGCTTTGGGGAATGCTTAGAGGAAAAATTCCTTGGACTGAAATTTGTAATGGGCATATGTCCTCAAATGAGAGCAGAACAAGGTTAATCTCTAGGCCACATTGATAAATGGAACTGCACATCATGAGTCACAAGCATCTTTCCTTTGTTCTCATCATAAAATGAAGCAGAGATGCTACCAAGTTGGAGGGGCACATAAGTAGGAGATCCTCAGCAAACCCCTTGGTATTCCACCCACATTTTTTCTTGACCCCCTCCCCAATTCTCTTTCTTAGTGTTTCCTGGCTAATTTGTTACTCAGGATGTCATGTAAACCCAGACTTTTTCTTTTCTTTCTCCCTTTCTTTTTCTTCGCCTTGCCCCTTCCCAGACAGGAGGACTAACATTTTTCTTCTCTTCCCATCTCTTAACTTATGAAGTACCCAGTTATTTGGGGGTTCTCCAGGAAATGCTGCATTTGGCTCATGATTGGTAGCTCAACCCAGCAGCCCCATTGCCTCCCACTCTCACCCATAAATCCTGATGTTACATTAGCAATTCCATATTTTTGCTTTGAAACAGTCACTCTTCATTACTTAATTTTTAATATAATTATATATTCAATTAAGCCAGCATATCTGTCCATCATGTAAGGTTCTAAATTGTTCCCAAAGTCTCCACCAAGTCCAGCGGTCTTCTGTTGTAGTTGGTGGTCTTCCCACAGATAGAGGGACCCAGAGTGCTGTATGGGGTCCCAAAAGAGGGAGTTGAGCAAATTCACCAGTACATTTCTGATCCTGTAGGAGAAATACATCTGTCTGTCTATCATCTATCTAATTAATTACACTGTCAGCTGTTGAGATCTCCTTTTATTTACAATAAAACCCAACAAATATTAAAACCAGAGATATTAAAACCAATTAGAAACAATGATTAGAAACAATAAAAATAAGTGATTAAGGCTTGGGTGTTCTCATCCCCAATTCACCATTCCAACTTAATCTGTGTTTGTCTTTCTTGCTCCATTTATTGCTACTGAATTTTACTCAAGCGCTGTGTGGAACATACGTATGACTGATTGGCAGGGTTTATACACATTAAGCAACTTTACTCAGCATTTAGACTCACCAAGTATTCCATGTTGGATGCTGATGGATAGACTTCACCTCTCAATTTATTATGAATCTTCAGAATCTCTTCTCGGTCACTCTGGGAAATTGATCTCTTGGCCCTTGAGTGGGGTTGCCCACTCTGGTATTGATTAAGGATGCTTTCCAAATGGGTGGCATTGGGCAAGAAAAAACAGTGGATGCCATGAGCCAGGAAGAGGAAGAGAGATGATATGATGGCCCAAGGAATAGTCGGATTTCTAGCCATTTTCTACTTGGTGGAAATGGGATGAGCGCAAACACTGCTCTTCCAAGGAAACACTTCTGCAACGTTCTATAGATCTACAATATAAGAGGAAGAACAGGGAAAATGTAATTATTCTTAATCCTAAACAGAGTGAGCTTTTAACCCATGAATGGTGTTCCTCCAAGTTTGTTCATGCTCTCTACTCACTCTAATAAAATGCTCACAACAATACTGTGTTTCAGGAAGATTAGCCTGTAGTTCTATGTCTCTGAGAGAGTGAGACAGAAGATAGGTAGAAGATTCATTTCAGAGTTTTCTTGAACAAACAGGAAACAATAACCTCTGCAATACTTTTTACAGGCAAGGAGGAAAGAAGGGACTTCAGAGTCCAGCGCAAAAGGAGGAGGACAAGTTAGGCCTATACTCAGTTTAAGCCCTTAAATAATCTTAGACTCAAAGATACTGGTTTGCAAGCAGCCACGACTGGAGAATGAGATTGCTACATCCTACTGTGTCCCCAAATCCCAGCTTAATAGCACCCTAGACATTCCCAAATAGCAAGTTAGAAGAGGTCAGCTACGAACTGTGAGCTGTTTTGTCTTGGCGGCGAAGAAGAACAAAGCTGTTTGCCAGCTGCTTCGAATCTGTGGCTGCATACGCAAAATGTCACTAGAAATTTCAGAACTGTTGAGAGTCCCATCTGTAGAAGGTGCGTCACAACTCTCTCCACAAGTTTATTTATAGCCTCCTTTCTTGAGAAAAAAATAAACCCCTGCCTTCTGGGCTCAAGTGATGCTGCAGCTCCCTTCCCCCTTCTTCTCCCTCCAGAAATAGTGGAATGATCTCCCAGCCTTCATGCCTAGGACTCCAATCCCCACCATGCGATTGGAGATGATGAGAGTTGAGGTTCCGTTTGTCCCCAGGGCAGTGGGTGGAACCCAGGGAAAATCAGGGGAGGTAGCACAGGGGCTCTAGTTCAAACAAACATCTCCAAAGCATTAATCCTAGCTTTATTCTTGGTGAGGGCTCTATTGTTTTCAGCCCCAATTCACACAGCATCAAAATCTGTCTTTGATTTCTCCAAAGCTTTTCTTCCCCTTCTTAAAGCGTGTTTCAGGCATTAGACATTCTTGGGGTAACATTTCTGAGCCAATAGTATTTTTGAGATGTGGTCGCCCAGTTTAAGGATGACCCATAGTTAAGAACAGAGCCTATTGTAGCAAAATT